TCTGTATAATTGCGATTGTTTGTTAGTCATTTTCGGTGAGTCTCCAATGGGTCTGTTCACCGTGTAAGGTATATAGGGTAGATCAGAATCCGAACAAATACTGGCACCAGGACTAGTGCATCTTGGCGGTGTATCCTCTGGCACCCTTTCACGACTGGGTACACTCTTACCCCGCCTCAATGGCGCACTTCTTGTCCTGCCAGTGCCAGCACTTTGCGCGCCACCTTGAGAGCTTTGCTCCGATCCCATCCTTGCTAAATCTCTCAAATATTTTAGACAAGTTCACAAAGTTTACATAAAGTGTATACTTCCGTTAACAGTACATTGTAATCTTTGCCTCTCGAAGCGAAAGTGAGTATAGTGTATTTGTTATAATGCCATTGGAAATTCCATTCAGTTCTTTTACCATTAATCAATATAAACGTCTCATAATAAACATAATTGTAACAATAAACGTCATGTAAGATATAAGGCCATCCGACGCTGCTCCTCCGCTTGTAACGTTTTAAACAAAGGCTCGTGCAAGTTGTTCATGTTTGCTCATTATTGCAACTGCATTCACAGCGACCGATGTAACGTCAACGTCCTCCCCTTTCGTACATCCTGGGAAACTCGCCTCTCGCGTTGTCACAACGGCACCGCTCGAATTGCGTAAACCGTATCGGCTCGCGCGATAACGGAACTTCCACGAAATCGGTTTCCCCCTTTTCTCTGTTGTCAAAAAGTCATTTCCCTTTCTGCCGTCGGTCCTCGGTTTGCTAGAACGGATTCATGTGTCACAATTCCATCCACGACGAGAACCCCATCTGTCGAAGCAAACTTAGAAGTTGCAGGCAGGCAATCCTCGGTTTCGTTCGATAACACATTTCCCTAGAATTAGTTTAGGAAATAAACAATATTTTCTCACAAATAAATTGCAAATTTCATACATTAATAGCATCGATAGTTATCTCAGAGTTTAGCATCGTTAATCATGTATAAAAGATACACGAAATTTTCAATCAATTTTCTCCATTTTCTTTTTGACGAACACATTGTAAATTTCGTCTATTAACAGTATCAAACAGTTATTCAAAGTTTAGCATCGTGAATCCTCGTGCAAAAGATCAATTAAATATTTATATATGATCTCTAAATATGTAGAGTTGTATAAATCTGTTTTCGCGCAAAAGGGGTACGAATATTGACGATTTTTGTTGACGCAATGTCTGTTCCTGAGTTTTTTCCAAATCCTTTTTCACTCTTTCCATCCGTTAAAGTTATTTGCAGTTTCTCAAACTGTCACTTATAAATATATGCCTGACGCTCCGTTATCGCTTAAAGATACATACATTGCGGGTCCGACGACACTTCGGGTTGTCGATGTTATCAGCATGATTTTTGTATTCCGAACACGCATCGTCTGAACCACCGATAACAGACTAACGTCATGCAGACATGTCGTATGTTGGATACGATGGTTTTCGTAGATAGAACATCGATAAGAGCGTCCTTCCGATTTTAATTGCAGTGTAGTGATTCATTAGCATTTCCCGAGCAACCTTTGCTCCCTTTTCACCATTACACCTACTAAATATCCTAAACGCTTAGACAAAGAACAATAGATTATTCTATCGGAGGGCAATTTCGGTTATCTGCTTTCCGAACGCTACACAGCGTTTACAACAATATGCAAAACCGGGGCCCACTAAGTTCCTCAATGTCACCAATGACAAAGCGTCGAATTTCTATCGAAATCATTTAAAATTCTTGTTTGGGCGCTCGCGTGTTTTCAAATTCTAATCGTCCCAATTTGAATACGCGCGTAGAATACATCCTACCCTCGATTTAGAGCAGGGCTTCCCAAACTTTTCCACTCGTCGAATCCCCTTCGCTCGAGCAAATATTCCCGCGACACTCGGTATAGAGACGTATAAATCAGGAATACGAATTAAAACATTTGCTGATAATAAATCACAATAAAACTAGCAGACACGTGTAGCATTACCAAATTCTTCAGAACTACTTCTCGATCGTTGCGTATCCAATGATTTCTTAGTCCCGCTAAAATGTCTGCGCCTCTAAAATTTAATTATAAACTCTGAGAATCCTTGGTTCTGATGTTTAGGCAGCGGCGTCGCGCAAAATGGTAATGCTCGCGCCTTTCTTCGCGCGGTACCATTTCCATCCACTTTTCGGGTTTATCCGGACCTACCGCGGTCGCCTAACTCCACCGCGACGATATCAACATGAAATTTACATTACTCCGAACGTTGACTCGCTCCGTTAGGTCTTCATCTTTTCTCATCCTTGCTGAAGGAAATTCTCGCGCAATCTTGTACTCCGAACGCAAGTTTCTAGACTCCTTTAGAGACCTGACGCGATATTATAGTGTATATGGATCGTAAATGACACGGGAATGTGTGTTAAACTAAACAAGTATAAATGTTTATTGACACTAAACCGGGTAACAGCTAAATACACAATTTTCTGCCTCCTTGGCCAACACATGGCTCTATAGCTAATTGCCACTAAGCCAACGCACGGCTCTCCCAAACTCTCTTTCCGACATTCGCACTCAAAAATCATTCTCTAGCTCACATTCTCACTCGTGCTCTTGACAAACTCTCGAACACACCTCTTCAAAGCTGGTAACATTGGGCTTTCGTTGTGCATGCCACTTTCCTCTTTCATTGCCCTTCGTTCGCACTCCTCGCATTCGTGCTTCTCGAAAGTATCCTAAACTACAGCTAAAATCCTAGATAAAACAGCGTTTGCTTCAAAACACGTCTCTCTAATCTACAATAGCCTCTGCGGCGAGGGTGACCATTGTCAGCGTAAATATTGCGAATAAAATGTGGGCTTTGCACGTTTGCTTGCTCAACGAAGAATAAACAGATGCATTCAACTAGTGGCATAAAATGTGCAGCAGTATACTAGGATAAGATGGAATGAAATAAGATAATGTAAAGTAGAACAAAATGAAATGCAGTAAAATCAGTGTTACAAATAGGCAACAAAAGATAGAAAGAAAAGAGCAAGGATAAAAGAGGTGCGCCTATAAAACAGGATAAAACAGTGTTGCTCTCAATAAGAGTGCCCTCGATGTTCTACAATATTCCCTGAAACTGTTGCATCGCGAGTCGTGTAGATTTCTATCGATTCCAGTTAGTAAAAGTCAATCAAACCCGATTAGCATTCCCGCAGCTAGTTATCAATGGAAAATCCAAACAGGTCCCCTCATTTTTCCGCTCGAGCCGCTTTCGACGAGGCTCGCGTGACCATTTCCTAGCTATCGGAAGCGATTTAGAAAGCGGACGATTAGGCGAAAAACGGATCTGCATGGAACACCGGCATTAATGAGTCGTCGCCGGCTGTAAAGTAATTATCGCGCGAAAGTAATCGCGTCGATCGCCGTTCCGAGGCGGCGCGAAATTTTCGCGTCCCGTCCCGTCATTCTCGTCGTTTCTCGTGATTCCTAACGAGCGGCCGTCGCTGGCAACTTTCTAACGCGTCGACGTATCCGAGCATTATCTTCACGGTCCGCTGGTCGACGTTAGAAACGACCGTGTGTCCCAACACGCCTTATCAACCCGCGGACCGTAATGACGCAGGAACGGTGAACCATGATTCTCTAAATACGGGACCCGCAGCCGAACTTTTCGTCCTGGAATTTTTTCCCTGGCAGAAAAAGTGTTTGCGTCAGGTTACAGCGAATCGGCTTCGACAGTCTCCCCTGTCTCTATTAACCGTTTGATTTGTTCGTTCTAACGGCGATCGATGGTAATCATAATGGTTACGTATTATGCGAATGGCACCATGGACGTTAATTATAACAGTTGTTCGCCGAAGCGTATGGATCTCATCTAATCGAACTCATTCCGTTGAAATTAGCTTCGGACGTCTAATTAAAATATCGATCTCCTGTCTCCATGGCTAGTTTCATGTAGGATAATCCGTCTTTTAACGATGATAATTAAGAACTGGGATAGACCAGGGTCAACGTACGCGTTGAA